GGTAGAAAATGCTCCCCGGTCTTGTCACCACTTGTCATCAGAGTGTTCTGAACCAAGCATGTTGGTACATGCCTATAATCCCAACACTCTGGGAGGCTGAAGCAGGATGATCCTAAATTTAGCCTAATATGGGCAACTTAGCAACTTAGCAAGATCCTGTCTCAAAGAATAAAAAAGGTTAGGATGTAGCTCAGTGGTAGAGAGTCTCTAGGTTCAATCCCCAGGACCCAGGTGAGGCTCTCAATGTGTAGCAATACTCCCAGTGGTTCAGTACTTGCCTGGCAGGCACAAAGCCCTGGGTTTAAGTCCCAGCAGTGCAAAAACAAAACACATTCAAAAAAAAGTGTTGGTTCTTCGATGGTTGCAGAGGTTTCCATCCTGGGTGTTTTCACTGTGCCAGCCATGAGCCCGGGCCCTGCTTAATGTAACTCTGCTCTGTGCCACGTGATCCACTCTGACTAGGGATCTGTCAGGGTCACGGACATCATGAGAATCTCACTTGGCATCTGGGGAGGTGCTGCTGCCTTGTTAAAATGGTAGCACCTTCGAGTCAGTCCTCAGAGCAAGCTAAAAGCCTATGCACTGGACAGATAGCATCTCCAGTGGTTCCAACAAGAGAGGAAAAAAAGCACTTGGGCTTTGTTCCTCAAATGAAAGCAAAGGCTAAGGGAAATAAGAGTTTATTATCACACAGCTCACTGTACTTCTAGTACCTAGGATACATGAAAGTTTATGTCTGTCAAATATGATCTATTCTATTCTCTCCAAACCAGTTTAATGCATGCTCTTTTATTTTTTGGGGGGGGGGTATGATTCCACCTATTTGAAATGTCTGGCATAGACCATTTCATACAGAAACTAGATTAGGGATTCCTTGGGGATGAGGAATGAGGAGTGTGGCAACTGGTCTGCAGAGGTGGTTTTTAGGGGTATAGAAATACTCTAGAATTATATTGTGATGGCTGCAAACCCCTGTGAATAAACTGAACAGGTGTACACCTTCAAACAAGGTTAATTTTGTGGTAAGTGAACTATGTTTTAAGTCACACCATGTGTGCCTCAGGGGACTCAGGCCAAGGCATCCACATCTGGAGGGTCAGGAAAGGGCAGAGTTTCTGGCAGACAAAGGGCTAGAGATCGTGAACATTCACGAGCTCATTTCATCCCTCACTGCAGATGGACACCCAAGGTTACCTGTGGGCCAGCATATATATAAAGCACCTATTTATCAATTTTAAAAATGTTATTTGTTCTGCAGTGCTGAGGGTCAACCTAGGGCCCTGAGCATGCTAGGCCAGCACTCAATCCTTGAGGACTACTATATGGAATATAAAAAGAACTCAAAAAAATCAGACCCCCCCAAATACAGACACCCAATTCAAAAATGGGCAACTGAAATGAACAAACATTTTTCAGACAAACAAGTAAAAGCAGCAAATAAATATATGAAAAAATGTTCAGTATCACTGGTCATTCAAAAGATGCAGATGAAAACAACACCGACATTCCACCTTACCCCAGAAGGAGTGGCTGCTATCAAGAAATCAACCAATACCAAATGCTGGTGGGGTGTAGGGAAAAAGGAACCCGTCTCCATTGTTGGTGGGAGTACAGACTGTGCAACCACTGTGGAAATCAATATGGAGTTATCTCAAAGAACTAGGATTAGAGGTTCCATTTGACCCAGCCATCCCTCTGCTGGGTATCTTTCCAAAAGAATTAAAAGAATCATACCACAGTGATAATACGTGAACCCATGTTTATAGTGGCACAGTTTGTAATAGCTAAAACTTGGAAACAACCCAAATGTTCAACTGGAGCCTGGATAAAGAAGATTTTTTAAATAAAATGGAGTACTACTCAGCCATAAAGAATGAGAAACTAGAAGTATTTATAGCTAAATGTATGCACATTGAGGCTATACTCTTAAGAGAAATAAATAGGACATACTTGAGTAAATACCGAATAGTTTCTGGTGTGAAAAACTAAAAGTGTAAGTAAGGTTCAAATGGTATAATTGGGAGTGTGAAGTAGGAAGGAAATGGCTAAAGGGGAAGTAGGAAGGGGAGGGGAAAGGAAATAAGGGAAAAGAAAAAATGTAGAAAAATGAAATAAGGGAAACAAAGTCCTTGTACATAGGGAAGGGTAAAGTGAGGGCAGGAGTATGGGAAAAAAATAACCAAGATATATCATGTAAAGGTACAAGATCCCAATGATAAATGTAACTGTACTGTTTGCTCTAAGTGTACCAATAAACTTGATGAAAAAATAAATAACTAATGTCCAGAGCAACAGTGTAGCGCTGTGGTTAAATGCACAGCCTTTGAAGCTAGAATGCCCGGATTCAAATCTTTCCTCCATCAATTTCCAGCTGATGTAACCTTGTGCAATTTATTTCATGTCTTAGGACCTTAGTTGTTTTCACATCTGACTCAGCTGGAACCACCTCTGTGGCTCTGGGATCAGCTCCTCACATGCACATAATCCCGGACTCTGCCGGTGAAGGGCTGGTGCTAGGACCCAGCAGGGGGCAGGCGGTCTTCAAGGTCTTAAACTGATCTCATTCACCTTGTTTCTAGCCCTTTTGTTCATGTCCACCTCCCAACCAAAAGCACCAAAACGTGTGTGTGTGTCTGTGTTGGAAAGTCTACGGTGGGATGGCGTGGACTTGTCTAAGCTGCATGAGTGGATCAAGTCTCAGCTCCTGAGGCTGAAGACTTTCTTGGCTCCTTGTGGACAAAGTGATTCAAGCTACCCTTTCTTCCAGCTGCTCTCAACTACCGTTATTCTTCCTATAAGCCCTTCTTGAGACTAATAGCATATCCTGGTGTCTTTCCTAATTAACTCAGACATTTTCCAGAAATCAGTTCCCTACCAGAATGAGCTGATCATTTTATCATCCGCCGCTGAGTTGCATATCACTGAAAATGAGCCTAAGTCCCAAAGGTCAGGCCTGGAAACACATTTGTTCTAGGGACAATTGCAGGAGAAAGTCTCATCTAGACCTTGATGAAGCCTGTTTCTCAGCAAACAGAAGAACTTTTCTCAATTCCCTGGCTAATGTACCAGTCTCTTCAATACAAAGCCTTCTAAATTGAAAATATTACAGTCTGTAATTTGTTGGAGCTGTTCAGCATCATTTTGATACCAGGAATAATCTATCCAGCAAGGACCGTTGTAAAGGTTTCAAAGGATTTTTGTTACAGCACTACAAGTTAGTCTCTCTCTATTTCCTTTATGTCCAACAGAGCAGGACTTTTATGCATTAATTTATGTGTGGATTAGAATTATACTCTACAGGTAGTAACCTGAGATTAATAGACAGGATTTGGGTAGATGGAGCTGTATCATCATTTTAGCCATAGAAGTCATCCTGATCTCAAAATATTGCCACACGTGGTGACTGTGTGGTGGCTAGTCTGCCATCTTTAGGGACTGAGCACCTATGTTTTCTTGGCTAACTGATTGAGGTCTAATTATAATGTCATCTTATAAATGTCTTCATGGGGAGAAAAGGCTTGAGCATGCTATCCAGCATGCTTCCTCACTTAAGTAATAAAACCTTTTGGGTCTCTGGCATGCCTGTTCCTTATAGTCCTTGCTATTTCTGCACTGGGAAAATGCATTTGTAGATGGAAATGACATACTTTGTTGGGTGGCTATATCAGTCCATGTTCTGTTGCTTGAACAAAATCCTTGATGCTAGGTTATCTATAAAGGAAAGAGGTTTACTACCTCACAGTTCTGGAGGTTCAAGAGCATACTCAGCCCTGGTGAGGGCCTTGTGGAGGATGTCATCACAATGGCAAGAGGGAAGGCAAGGGGGACAGATCCTACTGCAAGACAGGAAGCAAGAGGCATTAAAGGGCCAGGCTTGCTCTTTTTACTTCTCACTCTTGGAGGGAGTTAATTAGATTTCCTTGAGAAGACACCGTTCCCTTCTGAGTGTGACACTCCCATGATCTAACCACCTTCCACTAGGCCACCTCACGCCACTCAACTGCAGCGTCCTGGGACCAGGCTTCCAGCCCATGAACTTCTGGGAGACACACTTAAATCATATCCATAACACTGTCTGCTGTAGGACTCAAACCCTAAATTCTCGATAGTGTACCAGATTAGAGGTCTGTTTGCCTTTCTTGGAGCACTTCAGGGCTGCAGGATATAGGTGGCCTTCACCCCTACTCTTCCATCTTTAAAACATGGGATGCCCCAGTCTCAGCTGGCAGAGAAGGAAAAAAGTACATCAAGAAGGAACACTTGCTTAAATACCACAGATCCAAAGTAACCCGTGTGGCTTCTGGTTAGATTCCATTGCCAGGAATTCGGCACACAACCCATCAGGTACAAGGGGCTAGACAGCTCCTAGACCACAGAAGGGGAGCGTAATTTTCTGGGGAGCTCTGCTGCACCTCTTACTGCCCTAGAATCTAAAGGCAAGTGCTGGGCATGCATTTCCAGACCACCTCTATCCTCTTACACCTATGCCAGGGGAAGACAGTGATTCACCCCTTTGCAGACCTAAATGCCAATGTCAGCAGGACCTCACCTGTGGTGGGACTGTAAGTCTCTAAAGCCATGGGATTGATAAGAAGCCATCTGTATTTTTTCTTTGCACTTACCAATAAGGCTACTTGTATGTGTCGTTGTTATAAAGCCTTAGGTCCTAAGAACTCACTTCCCTTTATAGCACTTCACCTGGAACTATGAATGGCACCTGTAATGAGGCTCTGTCTGAAGTTGCTGATTTGAAAAATGTAAATGATGATTTCTTTTTTGATAAAGCATTTTTCACCAGTGGTATCAGTACTGTATGGGAATGCAGTCAGGATGAATGGAACGTGCCTCCTTGTATGCTGACTATGAAAGCCTTTGTTTGTTGATAGTCATAATGAATACCTGAGCAGGTGTCGCCAGTGAGTGACCTGGGTGGCAGCAAAAGGAGGCAGGAGAGGCCATGCTGTGTCCTGACGACTTCCTCTTGGGCTCTTCCTTCTCAGGTACCCTTTCCCCATGGTCTTCAGCAGCTGCAGCAGGAAGGACCTGGAGACCAGCCTGGAGAAAGGGATGGGAATGTGCCTCTTCAACCTGCCTGAAGTCAAGCAGGCTTTTGGGGGCCCGAAGTGTGGGAATGGATACGTTGAAGAAGGAGAAGAGTGTGACTGTGGGGAGCAGGAGGTAAGGCGACCGTCTCCAGAACATCCTCCTCACGTTCTTGGATGGACAAAGCAATGAGAAACTGGGCAACAGACTGAAGGTGCTAGACACTCAGGATGGAAAAGCCATACATGTCCACCTTGAACAAGCCCCATGCACCAGGGTCACTTTCTTGAGTCTTAACTATCAGACAGAAGTTGTATCATTTGGTCTAAATACATAAAGAATCTTCTCTGTTGAAGGGTGCAATATTCTCAGTGAGATGAGGACAAGAACAATAAAAAAAGCATTTAGCTTTGAGTTTGATGGGGAAGAAAGCCTTGGAATTCTAGCTTCAAAGAGCTAATAGACACCATTTGTTTCTCTTTGTGAGGCTGCTACTAGAGGGGAATTTGAATAAGCAGTACTCAATTTTAGACAAGAGCTTCCTCTCAAGCTGAAATTCTGCCACAGCCTCCTATGTATGCACGGCCCGAGGCTCCCAAGGCTTCTGGCTCTCGTGCTTGTTAGCTTTCAGAAGCAATAAGTGAGAGCAGGGAACATTTTTTATCCAGCTCTGGGCTTGTTTAACCCTGCTTTCAAGCCAATCTCAGGAAATACTCTTGTTCTACAGGGCCCAAGATAAAGTTAATCAACATAGAAAGTATAACAACCACTTTTTCATCTCTGAATATTTCTGAGAAGGAAAGAGAGGACATGGTGAGCCCGCCTAGTGAAAGCCCCTCAAAGCTTGGAGGAGGTTTAGAATAAATCAAAGGCAGGCATTTGTGTAACAGGAAGCTGCATATGAGATTCTCCATTCAAGCTTGTGCAAGCTGAAATGGTAGACAAGTTTGAGGCAAGCTTAGCTGAATTCACAGATGGGCTTAGTGAAGGATCGGGTAGAGCACGTCTGCTCTGTAACAGATTCAAAGATGGAAGAAAAATTGTTCTGAGACTCCAGAGCATCCTGTACATTCCCTGCATTCACCACACGAGCTACTCAGTAATGGAATCTTCATCTTATCCTGTCTCTGTCTCTGGGACACCGCATCCCAGCAGGGATGATTTTGCTCTGACAGTTTCTGGGAGGGTGGTAGAGATGTGTAAGACCTGAGTGGGAGAGGAGAATGCAGAAGTGGTTTTATCAAATGTTTTTATGCCCTTGTCAAGCTCAGAACTTACTAACAATAATGACATTGTTAATTGTGCCCCCGTGAGCAGTGCCTGGTTGCTGGGTAGGACCAAGTCCTAATTATGGTGTTACAGAAACTCTTAAAGATTAGTGAAGGAAAATAGGAAAACTACCATGGGATGGGATGTGCAAAGAGAAAAGAAGTTCCTTGAAGGCCTTCTTAATTACTTAAAGAAAATTTTAGTTAGCTTAAATTACCCTTATTTCTCAAGAGAGACTATATTGACTTAAAATGGTTTGCATTTGGTTTGAACTCCTTACAATATTGTTTGTGGCCATGAATAAATCTGACGACTCCATGCAGCCATGACCTCTCAGGCATAGAATGATTCCATTCACACTTACATGCCACCACTCCTGCCATTGCTGTCACAATCATCACAACTGCTGCCAACATTGCCACTGTTGTCTCATCAGCCATTCCCACCACCACCCCACCGTTTATTTTCACAGTCACTGCCATGCCCACAGCTACCACCCACCACTGCTACCACCACCATCAACACCACCACTGCCATACCATTATCCCCACCACCATCACCACTGTGGCCACTGTGCTTGAGAGCCAGACATTTGTGTTCTGGCCCTCTTTCAACTCCAGGAAGTAGTTGTGCCAATTTGCTGGGGTGCTTCGATCTCTCCAGGTAGCACCTTGCACTGTGGGGCAGCTTTGATTATTACAAATTCCTTACATAGAGCCAAGTTCAACTTGGGTGTAATTCCCATAGTCAGGGTCCTTATTTCACAAGGTGAGTTCTTAGTATTTTAAGAGAATCCTTTTCCTCATCCAATCATCCTTCCATGAACTTTTCAAAGTCACAGTGAGCCTCTTGCATTGGTTAGTTTATTTTACTCTTTATGTGTTGCTTTTCAAAGTTCAAATTCCAATTGTGCCTTTGTATTGGGATTGCCCATTTCCACTTTCCACACTTCTTTGCCCAAAACTTTTAATTTAACCCATTACCTGGGCTCATTCTCTCCTTCTCCAGGTGCTCACAACTTGTAGGTATTTCTCCTGCTGTTGCTCAGATCATCCCCTGGCCCAGAGGAAATCGGTGAATGTGTGGGCTCAAAATAAATTCTACTAGCACACAGCTGGATCCTGCCTCTGCTCCCTCACTCCCAAAAATGATCTTCATCATTTGCAAGAAAATGCATTACAGTTTTATTTCAGTTCATTGTGACTAAGAATCTGTCTACTATCTACAGCATGAGAATGACAATTAGGGCTTTACAAAGGATTTTCTAATGGTTTCATTTTTCTTTCTTCTTTGGAGGCTTGGTATTTATTGGTTCTGTTGCTTCCCTATTGAGTACTACAATAATAAATGCATCAACAGATGAAGAACTTGTCTCTTCTGAGAAATATGGTATTCCAGAAGAAATAGATTGGGGGTAGTTAAAAGGCAAGTGATACCCACAGCCTTCTGGTACAGGGTGTTGGATTTATATCACCATAAGGATATCCTGACATCTCACTCACTCTTCCAGCTAACAGGACTGGGAAAGCAACTTTATCTCCTTGTTTAAAGTCAATAGGATGCCAGTAGCTTGCAAATTATCTTTTAAACTTATCTTTCTCATATTATCAACCTTCTTTGAAGTCTAAGACATTCTACTTGGCAACATTTCCAGCTGAACTGCTGCTTATATTATTTAGTGATTTGGGGGAGGGGAAAGTGTTCTTAAAGGATTTGGGGATGCAGATATGGGATGTCTGATTGAACTTAGAATTTTAAGGGAATCTCTAGTTTGGATAATGTATCATTAGTAGAACCATTTGGACCATAATGAGCAAAATGGCATTGCTGTACATTTGATAGTACCCAATAGGGGATGCATTTAAACGTCTCCTTTAAAAAAGCAAAACAAGTCACTAAACTTTCTCACCATTATGAGTTCATGAGCCAGAAGCCCTTACTGTCATAAAGTTTCAGCCACGATTTCTGGTTGGCAGTTTTATCTTATTGTATATACTACGCATTCCGGATGTTTATAAAGTCCTCAAACAAATGTAAAATGGAAGTATGTATGATAGGAGCAAATTGTAAATACAAATGAGAGCTTCATCCAGTTCAGGTATCTAGGGTTACCAGAAATCTGGGTCACTACCAAAATTCATTCATTGTATTTATGATACCAATGATATATTTATTCAAAAAAGAAGTTTTCAAGAGTAAGCAATTATACATTTATACTGTTAAACTTACATGTGATTAGCTTCACCCTAGCCAGTGGTATAGAAATTCATTGTAGCACATCATACATTGAATAAAATAAAAGAATATTGATAGGCTATGCGGTGTGAAGGACTTTGAACTCTTTCCTCTTACAATAAGTTTAATTTATTCTAAAATGTGTAAATTCAAAGTAATTGGGATGCTCTAAAGTACACGGACTTTATAAATTTATTAAATGTTTGTAGACTTTCTGTTGAGAACTAAGCACTCTCTTGTGGTGGTGGTGGTGGTGGCGGTGGTGTTAGAAAAAAATGACTACAGATAAAGCATACCACCATAAAGGAGTTGGTTTTCTCTCTCATTTTTGTTTCACAGAGGGCAATACATTACTATTTGATCTATCTGTTTAAATCCCTTGAAAACCAATGGAGTCCACCCCAGCCTCCTTCCCACCTCAGCCTACATGTGCAGAGCAAGGGTCTCATCCATGATCTCCTGGTTAAATTTCAGGGAATTTGGGTTCAAGTATAATTCATTTGACTTCGCTTCCTCTCAGGGCACTCGATCAAAATGGCTCTTTTGCTTTGCTTTGTTCTGATTTTTCCCTGCAGCTCTAGTGATGGGGCCCCAGGCTTCACAAGACATCCTAGGCAAGCACTCTTATCACTGAGCTATGTTCCCAGCCCCATCAAAAGTTTCATTTTTGGAAAGTAATGATTTCATGCATCTGTAATTTCTCCTCCTCCTCCTCCTCCTCCTCCTCCTCCTCCTC